CTTAGATGCAGATATTACGCTTGCAGAAGTAAAACAGGCCATTGCTTATATTACTCGGGACACTGCTCCAGGGCCGGATCGTATAACATAAAAGATCCTCCAAAACTTAGATGACGTGTCTCTGCAGGAGCTCACGGATCTCTTTGAATAACACTGGAGCAAGGGCACACTGCCCTGTGTTTGGAAACATGCACAGATTAATCTTCTTTCGAAATCAGGAAAATCCCTGCTTCTCGAAAATTTACGACTCATCTCGCTAACGAGCTGTGTGGGTAAACTTTTTGAGCATGTTGTTCTCCGTTGACTACAGCCACATTTAGAAGCTAGCAATTTCTTTCCCAACACCCAGTTTGGCTTTCGCTCCAACCTATCGGCGCAGGATGTCTTCCTGCATGTTACAGAGACTCTATTTCATCCCAAACGGCTGACAGCCCAAACCAGAGTCATTCTCGCATTAGACATAAAAAAGGCTTTCAAAAATGTAGGTGACCAACATATTCTCAGGACATTGGCCACAACTGGCTGTAGTCGTAGGACCCGGCATTTTGTCAAAGCTTTTTTGGAAAAGTGCACCGCCGAGGTTAGATTAGGTACACTCACATCCGCCACTTTTTCCCTCCTAAACAGCAGCACACCACAGGGAGCTGTCCTATCGCCACTCTTATTAAATGTAGTCTTGGCCCCATTGGCCAAAGAGCTCGCTGATATTCCTTAATTACAGCAGGCATTTTGCACCGATGATATGACTCTGTGGGTGTGTCATGGCTTTATTGGGGAGGCACAAGACGTTCTACAAACTACAAAAAGGAACAGAGAAGCAATCAGCTCCAGCGCCTTTCTCGGACACCTACAGGGCGGAACCTGCTTTCAACCATGGGACTCAAATCAAGCGACACGATGCGTATCGAAGAAGCATGGTCGCCTATTCTAATAAAGGTCGTGGCACACATGCAACTCAAACCAATGCCGCACAACTTGAATCGACAACGCCATCTGGGCCGACGCAAGGCATGCCCTGACTATTACATACGGCGGTACAAAAATCGTGAAGACGTCCTCTATGTCAACGCGGTGGTAGACTCGCTTGAAGGAATGACCACGGCTGCTGCCATGACAGAAGACGGGCACATTAGCATTTCCGTGTCCTTTAAAACGGCACGTCCTGACGTGCCTGAGGGGGTTCTACTAGCCCTAGCAGTGGTGCATGCGGCCGCAAGTTCTATTATTATTACAGAAATTTGCACTGATTCCCAGAGCTTTGATGCTTCCGTCAAGGCATAGCACTAAAAACAGTCTCACCCATACTGAGCAACATTCCTCCACTTATCGATCTGGTGACTATCACGTGGGTGCCTGGCCATGAGTGTATCCCCGAAAATGAGCGCGTTCATGCGCATGTCTGAGGTCTTTCCTTCCGAACCCTGGGGGCTTGTTCCCCCATACTCGTAAGAAAACAACAAGAGGGATTCCGCACCTACCATGAGATTACGAGGTATAACCGGAATGGCAGACGAGATTTCCCTGCCCCTTCAGTTTGGCGCCAGCTGCAGGCGAAAGCATTGATTCCTCCCTATCTGGCACACCTATTTTACACCACTCTTCACCAACCACATTGCATCACCTGCGGGGCACCCTGGGCTTGTCTGTTCCACTGCTCGTGGAACTGCCCGAAATCCGTGGCGGTGGACTCCATCCCTAACCCTTCCCTTTTCTCGTGGGAGACCGCTCTTTGGGTCACTGTCTCGGACGACCATTTCTTGAAACCGCACCGGGCCTGCCTAGAGATGTCGAACAGGGGGCTCCCGGACGTCTAGGGGCCCAACCACATTTACTTAGATTTTTTTTTCAAATAAAGTTGTATACTTCTTCTTAAGCTGGCCAATGATAACGATATGCACAGTGACAGCAAGAAGGGCGATCCAGGGGAGGATGTGACTTCTGCAAACAGTTTTTGCGACACTGAGACAGATTTTGTCGATATTATTAGACTTGAACCTTCTTGTGGTCTCACGGCACAGACGCTGTCTCTGATAGAGAATGGCATAAGTTGGCAAGAACAAGGACAATACTGTGTGAGAAGGGAAGAACCTGATTTCTTTTGTATAGTGTCTAGGGTTACCAAAGCCTCTTCAACTAATTGTATCTGTATGGTACAATTTCATGATGAAAAGGAAGGATTTCTTGTGCAGAAAGGCGTTTCTGCGACGCTACTGTGTAGACGCGCATGGAGGCAACGCCTTGTCATCGAATTGAACGCCTTCGATGCTGTGTCTAAGAAGTGCGTTGAGCGTCTTGGTGTTATAACGAGAAGTTGCAGAGACACATTTAACCAAACATGCTTCAGCGCGTCTTTGGTGCATGGACTTTGTCAGCAATTGACAACTTCCAATCACCCGGTTCAGAACGCCAAAACATAAGCATTGAGTTGAATGACCAATCGGTCTTTATGGCTTACGACTGTGGAGAAAAAGTTTATACAGGTTGCAAACATTTAGGCAGCTTATTTTTTCGAATGTTTTGTTTGATGGAATTTCAGTTGGCACAGTCGTGCGTGTTCATTCGCTGTTTCTGAGATAGGCATTCAGGTGTTACGGCACTGGTTGAGTGAACTGTTGGTGACATCCAAGGAAGTGTGTGTGACATTTGGGGTTGTGTCGGTGATGTGCAGTGAAGTGTTCGCAGCACGCACTGAAATCTTAGTCACGGACAAAGCAGTGGTGGTGTGCGTGGTGACAGAGTGTGTTTTCCTAGTAGTGAAATTTCTTCATGTCTATCTACTCTATTGTGATACTTCATTTGACTAGGGTATCTCGCAAATGTTTTGTCATACACCAATAGGGCCACTGTAAATGATGCGGAGGAGGCTTTTGTGCTATGCCATGGAAAGGCAACCCACCGACTGTAGACGCTAAGAGGCGACAAATATTTTTCAATATGCACAGAATAGCTTATGCGGGAATGTCCAACGCTGCGATGGCGGAATTGTGAAGGCAGTCATACTCGACTAGATCAAATAATCAGTGCCATCATTTTGACACATGTTGCGTTTTCTGCGTTAATGTGTAGTTACCGACTCCTAATAACCATATTGTAGTGATCACGCAATAGAAGGACGAATTGGTACATGTTGCACTGTTTTGTACGACCAGTAATAAACTTCGCTAAAACGGCTGCTTGGACGAGCTGGTTCATGGTTAAAGTATATTTACCAGTGCAGGAAAATACAAAAAATTCAGAAGAGACACACAGTGTTGAACCCCATTCAATATGGGTGCCAAGTTCATCGATTTTTCGCGCTACCAGCACTACTCCCTGCGGTCACACCCCATCTGGCCATGAGACCACACGAAATGATGACGTCAATTTCAGGTGACATTTGGTTTACTCGGCATGCACGTGTGGGTATTCTTTGCCATCCCCACCATCGTCGCTGCCGTCATCAGCGTCTACAAGCGACAATCAAAGCATAGGATTATTGGAGCGCTGCGATTCGCAAAGTGGTGAGTCACTTTCAGTTCAATCCTCTGCATAGCAATGATTCTGAAATTGACGCCGAAACCAGCAGCAGCGAGGAAATAGGTAGAGACGCATGCATGGACAACGCTGGCTGGCAAACATGTTACAATTACGCAAAATAATGCATGCGTTCTACTTTTTCGGGATGAGCATTGCTTCGTACATGCTCAAGACTCTGCAACAATTGTCATAAGCAGCACAATATTAACGCAGGATTCACAAGAACACGCTGCCCAAACCAAGCAAAACACACAAGACAAGCCGTTCACAGGCAGCCCAAGCGTCGTCGCCTGGTGGTACCACAAGAATATACCACGATGTCGATATTAAACTTGTCAACAAAATCGTTGTTCGCTCAACGTCACTCGCCTCCTGAGGCTCGCTGAACATGTTGCATGGTGATTAACACGCCATTGAGCCTTTTTAGACGCTCTTTGCATGAGAAACAAAATAACTTTTATGTAACTGATGCCATTTATACTTCGCTCAAAAAAACTCACGCATACCAATCAATCGAATGAACTCTACATTCCGAGTTTCAAAATTTGTTGGCACTGCTTCTTCAAGTCACAGTCCCACAAGGCACGTGCTCCACCTCTATTTTTTAGGGGCGACAAAGTGTTTTTGGGGTAGCAAAGAGGTCTCGCGGTGAGGCCGAAGCAGCGTTGTCTAAATAATAGCCTATTAGAGAATCAGACGTTGCGTCATAAATGTATTCTTTTTTTTTTCGTTCCATCGGTGTTCATTCGAGATTGCTTGTCTCTCAAGTTTTAAGCTTTGCAACTTTATTGCATACCCTATCCGGTGCCCTATCTTTAGGGAGCATCGCTATTATTGAAATCACACAAATATTCTTGTATATCTGTTGCACCTGCGTTGCGTATTACCTTTTTTTTCCTTCTTCCTGCAAAATGCCCCGTCGCGGTGGTCTTGTGGCTAAGGTACTCGGCTGCTGACCCGCAGGTCGCGGGATCGAATCCCGGCTGCGGCGGCTGCTTTTCCGGTGGAGGCGGAAATGTTCTAGGCCCGTGTGCTCAGATTTGGGTGCTCGTTAAAGAACCCCAGGTGGTCAAAATTTCCGGAGTCCTGCACTACGGCGTCTCTCATAATCATATGGTGGTTTTGGGACGTTAAACCCCACATATAAATCAATCCTTCCTGCAAAAGTATCTCGGAAACTTCCGGTTACGTTAAACACAACTATATCACAGTATTTCATTTCAGATTTCCAGAGAATCTATCTCACTGTTTGTGGCCCGGGACACTTTTTGGACTATCCCTGCCCAGCGCTGAGTGGAACAAAGCTCCATACTATAATTTGCATAAATAGAGACTGCTCATCACAATCGAGACGCTGATGATGAATATAACACCTCACTGCGAGCTTCAATTAGATTTATTGTTGTTTTTGACCCATTACGGTTATTGTTGACAAAAGTGGCTCTTTACATTTATCTGATTCGTTAATAATGCTTTTTTTTCAGGCTAACTTGAGATACTTGGACACGACCAACCCGAAAATCGAGTTCCTTCTCGTCGGTGTAACACGTGTCACAGTAAGAACAATTTCTAATCATACCGTTATGGCTGCTATGGCCTCATGTAGTAGTACCAGGGACCTTCAATACTTTACTGGTCGTGAAGCGTCGGTGAATGTTTGATATAGCGGTAGGAGCAACTCCTAGGGGCGCCTTCGCCACCGGAGGAGCATTGGAACGGCCGCGGCGCTGCACTTGTACGGCACGTGCCGGAGCTCTAAAACGTCACCAAATGTAGCCGTGAAGGTTGAATACGTCTTCAGAGTAATGCTAGCTTCCAGAGAATTCGGGAAAGCTCTAATACAGTGAACGTTAGCGTCGAAAGAGCCCTTGAAGCTAGAAATTTGACGGCATGCTGGTTCCACTGTACGATATGCTACCTCTATGAAAGCATGCTTTTTTTTACTTCAGCATTTACTGAACATTAATGTACAATACAGAGTTTTTTAACAACTCCGGTGGTTTTTAACGTGTCGCGAAAATGCAATGGTTGCAATTTTTCACAGCGCATATCCAACCTTCTATGGTATATATACAGTCAATGCTTTTACATGCAAAGGTATATGTCTTGAAATTGCCTCGCACTTCTTAAACCAATGGTCACATTGAATGAACCAGTGTTTAATTTAGCAAGTGATGAGTAGTGTTATAGGCACTTAAAACTGGGTTTAGGCGCCATAAAGTTGTGGGCAAAACAACGTATTTGGCTCCCAAAATAGTAAATATAAGCACATAAGCTTTGACGAACTTACAATTTTTTAAAAATTGCGTGCGTGATTTTCGTCTACGACAGGAAAACAAACAATAATCTTCAGATTATGATGGTGCAAAGGTGGCAATGATTTAGCATAACAATTATATTTAAACAGTCCTTATCGAACTTCGGTGACCTTGAACGTATCTGTCTACGACTTTTAGCTCTTCTGGCAGTTTCGACAACGGTATCCATTCCCAACTTCGTAAGGCATAACATGACTATATAAAGAACACACCTCACTAGACATAACATGAAAATCAAGACAAGTTTGTCATGAATGTCATGATTTACATTTCATGATCCTGCATCCTATGCGGTGGTTTCGTTCACATGGCACGTTGCAAAACTGGTGTAGTGTGACATGACTGCGTGGTGAACACAAGCGGCAGACCCTATTATGAAAATCATGACATGCGTGCCATGTAACAACATGACTACATGCCACGCCCCCTTGCGGCCATTTCGCTAGCGTCACATATACCAAGTTTGGTATTACAGTACGTGAATGTATGACGAAGGTATAATAGTGGTGCAAACAAGATAAACATGAGATGCGTGTCATGTAACTACAGGACTACAAGCTACGCTCATGATGCGCTCGCCGCCATGTCGCTAGCTTCACATGTACAAAAGTCGGTATTACGTGACGCGGATGAATGATATAGGTAAAGGACACATTCAAACATTATAATCACGACATGCGTATCGTGTAACAGCATGAAATCATGCCACACTCATGATGCGCTCGTGGCCGTTTCACTAGCTTCACATATGCCAAATTTGGTATTACATGACGTCAATGGATGATGAGGTATGTGACTGGTGCAAACATAATGTTAATGACATGCATGTCATGTGAGTACCTTACTACATACCACAGTCAAGGCGCCACTACATTTTGACGTGACTGTGCGCGTGCTCATCGGCTTTCCTTTCGTCGCATCACACCGGCACTGCCACGCTAGGCGCCGGTCCTGCACTATGCTCGCAGGCGTGCGCTTCGCTGAGTTGCTTTGACGCATGGGCGTTTCGGCGCATACAGCGTCTCTCTGTCACGAAAAGAAGGAGACGCAGTGCTGGGAAACGCATCGGCGCGAAATGCAGCATGTCGCCTTACGCGCCGTTTGCTGTCGGGCCGCGTCGATGGACGTTGGTCGCGCCGGTTGCGCGTGGCGTCAGACTATAGAGTGTTCGCGTTTTGCTAACGTAGCGTCGCTGTGCCGAGGGTGCGTGCACGTCAACGCTACATTAGAGTACATTGAACCCTTCATGATGCGCTCACGGCCGTTTGGCTAGCTCCACTTGTACCAAATTTCGTGTTACGTGACGTCACTGGATGACAAAAGTATATAACTGGTGCAAACATAAAAATTCTGACACCTTGTCATGTAACAACATGACAACATGCCACACTCATAGCGTGCTCGCGGCTGCTTCACTAACTCCACATATTCTGAATTTGGTATGACGTTACGTGAATAGATGACAAAAGTAAAAGAGACATTCAAACAAGATAAACTGGACACGGAATTCATGTAGCGCATTATTTACTCCCACCTCGTGAAGTTGTGCCTATTTTAAAGTGACGTATCAACTTTTTCTGATTCGTGCTTCGCATATTATCGATTCCCAATGTACGTGGGATCTGCCAATTTTTAGAAGCGAAGCTCGTTAAGGCGTGGGATGAGCGTACCGTCGTAATTATACGTAGCCACCTCTCGTTAGTTCTTGAACCAGCCGTAGGTGGCGGTACTTGTACTTATAACTAAATGCATATATGCCGAAAAATGCAAATGGTACGATACTAAAGGGCGTTACATGTAGAAGAATAAACAATAAAAATTACAGCATATTGATGGAGTGAGTTATGATGAGTGGGGCGAAGCGCCCGTGAGTCCGTTTGCGCTTTCGTCCATCCGTTCGTTCTCGCTTCCGTCCGTCCGTGTGCGCATTGGTTATGGCACTTGTCAGTCATTTTATTCGTGCGTCCTTCCATTCGTGCGTCCGCGCATGCATTCGTCCATTAGTCCATGCGTCCATTCGTGCGTCCATCATTGCGTTCATCCATGCGTGCATCGTCCTTTCCGTCTGTCCATGCGTCTATCTGTTCATCCGTGCGTGCATTCATTCATTCGTGCATATTCCATGCGTTAATCCATCCATCCATCCTATCATGCATACACCCGTGCATGCGTTCGTCTTTCCATACGTCCATCTCTGCGTTCGCTCACGCGTCCATCCATCCGTCCCGGCGTTCTTCCTTGCGTCCGTCCGCGCGTGCGTCAAACAGACAGACAAACCGACGACAGACGATTGCAGCCAGCGGATGATTAGCGGTTTGCCGATAAAATGTATAATATGCGCAAGTTGGCAGTGGTACGCGCTAGATGATGGAACCCCGACGTGCAAGTGTGCGAGAAAATAGAAATGACGTCACACGAAGACGTTGGTGATCGCGTGTCCGTTGTTGGTGCCGTACGCTAAGGGGCGCGGTGTAGTAAAATAAAAGCCGTTTTCGCCCGCGCACGTTCAGAAAGAACCTTGATGTGCTAGTGCGCGAGGCAGAATCGTGCAGTGAAGCGGCGCGGCGGCGCCGAAAGATCCCGGCTCGCGAGAACGGGACGCCGAAGCGGCGCGGCAGTGGCGTGCGGACTCAGCTTCGCTTCACTCTCCATCATTCACCTAATGGACATGCTCTCTTTTTTTCCTTGGGGTTTCCAGAATATAGTCTCTCCATTTCTAGTCCTTCATAGTGATATAAGTGTCCACCGTCGAATGAGCATGTTCCTGCGTCTCGCTTTTTTTCGCCTGGCTCAGAAGGCAAACACACAAATAGCTAGAGCGCTAATAAACCGAAAGGGACTTTTTGCCTCCTACTAACTTGGCCACTGCATAGGGACAGTTTATCTTCTGTCCCTGAGCACTTTGAAGAGCCCTACCCCAGGTTTGAGAATTCTGAGCAGGAAACAGGAATGCGTGCACTGGATGCCCACAATCTCATCTGCAAAGATTTACAGTGTCACAAGCCCCGTAAAGAGGGGATATGTCAGATTGAACACGCGCTTGACCTTTATCTCACGGGTGAGCGCCCCAACAGTGTGGTGGGGGCGTATATACATGAAGGAATGGTCCTGCGTGCGTCAAAATAGTACGTCACAGTGCGAGAATTATTCGAGGCAACGTGTGCAGTCTGCGGAATCTGTTTCAAGAATTGAAGTATGAAGGTTGACAGCAATAATAAAACATACAAATTGATCTATGCACGTTTTTTTTATCTTAGTATCGTGCGAGATGCCAGACTAAGCTGTCTCCATTTTGTTTTCTTTAGTGTTCTCACTATCTTTGCATGGTGCCGGTGCCAGCTTTCCCAACGCTTGCCATCTCATCCAGCAATTCCAACCGTACCACGCTGTCTATTAGGGTAAGGGTACATGATCCATGACAGCTTTTCCAAGCGTGCGTGCATAGAGAGGTACTTCCGCATAAACAGGCAGTACAGTACATAAAAAATGGAAAGTACACAACACCACTTGCGTGCACGACCTGGCATGGGCATGTCATATGAGTGTAACCTTGCCTGCGCATGACGTGTTCGTGCCTTTGCCTCGTCTCCTCTTCCGGTGATGACTTGCTCCGATACCGAGAAGGGCAGGGAAAGAATTCGGCTTGCAAGTCTGCACCAGGCGGGTGGCAAAGGTTTCAAGCTGACCTCGTCGCATCATGCTTACGTTGTTTGTACTAAACCAATCGAAAACTATAGTGCTACAAAGCTTTTCATTAGGCACGCAACAAATTTCACTATTAGAGTAAAATTTCTCATTTCACAAGTCACCATTGAAGAAGTATATCACAAACTAAACACGCCCCCCCCCCTCCCGAACTTCTTTTTTTTCTACACTCCGCTCTTCCGTGATGACACTCCATGGTTTTGTATTCGTTCTTCATCGTTTTGTGGCTGCACAGATGCACACCCTGTTCTCTACACATGCGAGAAGACGCCGGGGAGATGCCGAACAGATGACACGACGAGAATGAATACAATTGTAGAGGCTAATTGGTCTGCCTATTGTCTAAGAAGGCTTGTAGTCTTGACAGTGTTGAAAGTAACCTATGAGACGGACTATATGTTGCATCCTATAAAGTTCAGAAGGCTCGCTGTTACCCGGTAACATGAATACAACTTTCAAATTAAATTTTAAAGCAATATTTAGGGTAAATAGTGTTTCATCTTGAACTTTCTTACAGCGCAACACCAGAAAAA